ACTTGCTAATAAAAAGTTATGAACGATGCCTTATTTTGATTTTCAACAATCATTCACGTAAGTGATGGTGAATAAAGGTGGATATTTACTCCGCCGCTTCGAGGCTAAGAAATTATCCCCACTCCTACCGATAACGACGCAAAGATTTGGTTTAGTATAAACCCCGAAAGAGCCCCTAAATTACCTTATTTCTGTCAATTTACCGAAAAAAGCTCAGAAATTAAACTTGGGACGCTCGAATTTGTCTCTTTGACAGTTTGGAGGAGGCCAATCAGAGAGCGAGAAAAGCACTATTTACTTGTGTGTTGTATACTAAAAAGGCTTCATACGAGTATGAAATAGACCATTTTGCGCAACTATGAGACAGAGCATACCGTTTACTGATTTCAAAATAATGCACTTTTCTTTGGGGCTAGCGTAAACGGACGTACGTGAAGTGAGTATTTCGTTAACGCTCTACGAGTAATTTTAAGTGCGCTGCAAGAAAGCACTCATGTCATTTCTACTAGAAGGTTGTTTTAAGTTTTCACTGCGGCTTATTCCATGAAACTTTAAGAAACTTGTTCTAACTACAATAACTGCGGCTAATCTAATGTTTGACTTGACTTTAGTAGGTTAGATATAAAAACCGCGAGACAGGTTTGTGTTTGAGGCGACCACTCTTTGTTTTTCTTTTGAAAATTTCTAACCTTTTTTAAATTACTTTTCGGAAAAAGGTCGCAAGCGCACTTTAGAGGTAAATAAGTGAATTTCTGCGGACATTTTCTCAGTAAATTTGTCAACCAAATCATTTCCTTTCGGAAAACTGGTCTGTCAATTTTTTATGACAGCGGTCAAGGAGAGTTGCCAACTGAGAAAAAAGTTGCCACACTACTTAAATATACTTCCATGGAAACTTGTCTGTGAAAATTCGTGTTAAATTTCAGTCTAGAGCCTTAATTTCTGCGGTTTGTGTTGCGGATGTTTCAAGACGACGTGCAAGACAGCAATCTGGGTTTAAAAGTCTTAGCAGCTGCAAATAGCCCCAAAAGTTATTTATTGAGTTGCTGAGTAAAACATTTTTCCTCAACGAAGTGTTTTGTTTTTTGGAGTTCCCATCCATTTTAAAGCGTCCTTCAGATATACAAAACTCAACATTGTATTGGTAGTGGGACGGGGGGGAGAGGGGAAGGGGTAGACACAAAAGCAGTAAGGTAGGGGAAAAAGCTATGCTTCCGAAGACCTTACTACTCACTGATTGTACGATCGCAAAATGAATGCATAGTTCATGTGAACAAAGAGAAAAGTGTTAACGAAAATTGGTCCCGCCTCAGTTTAGAAATTAAGGAGGGATTTTCATTCACCGATTTCGGTTAAAAAAAAGTCTAGAAATTTCTACTTTTTTTCCCGCTATTGAACCAACGCTGACAAGTGAGATGTTTTGGTAAATCTTCAGACGTGACGGTTTAAATCTAGATCTTCTATTGCAAGCATTTGGAAAATTAGACGAAAAACAGAGTAAAAGCTCAGTGGATGTCATAGCATTTTTCCTCCAACTCTTATATAATTGATGAAATTTTGATCAAAAAGACTTGTTTTTCTACTTTAGACAAAAAATGAATAATTGAATGACATCTAAATAAGGTACCTGTTATAATTAGATAGATAGATGTATTAGTCGCATATTATTTAAATATGCATTAGAAAGATGCGACGAAACCGAAATACATTACATAGAATAGATTGATTTATTTACCAATCATTTTTGGCAAAACACGAATAGTGATCAGGATGAAATTATCAAATAAACCATTGCCGTAGTTTCCTTTTGAACAAAATACTCGGCTAGGGCATGATTTGTTTTTTCTTTTTTTTCTCAAATAAGATCGGTGCCCATGTACAGATCTGGAAAGTGACAGCGATTTGACCTTTTGTTTACTGTGTTTCACAAAACTGTGAGCGAACAAAAACACATAGTACCTTGCCAGCCAGTCCAGTGGAAGGTTTATATTTTATTGATAAACGTTTACCCCAAAATTAATTCAAGAAGCTTGAGATAAAACCTCTCGAAAATATTATCAATGGATAAACTTGGTTTTGAGCCTAATGAATTATGTGCATAATTTACTGTCGCTTGAGTAGGCGCGCAATTTCACTCGTTTATACAACTTATTTCGAATTTGATTCTGAATTTAACAATACCAGTGATAAATTAGGGCATACGCTCTCGTTTCACGATGCAAAAAACATATTAATACATATTTGACATTTAATCTCTGCGTAAAAGTCAATCGCACTTTTCTAGAGTCGCCAAAACTTGCCATTTTTGTTAGTAAAAGTGATAGACATTTCTAAATTATAACATCCGCTGTTGAGCTCGGTAAACAATAGGACATTTAACAGAAAGTAAATAGATAGAGATGAAATAGGGGTACATTATGGTTATCCCAGAAGCACATTGCCTTTATTGCTCATATCAGCCATTCAATTTAAAGAAGCTTGTTCTTCCAAATTTGAAGTGTTCTTTGGGTCACGATGCATGTCAAACGTATCAAAAATTTTTTTTTTTCATTTTTTACTGTCCTCTTAACATGACAAGAATTCATCACTCTTTTAATTTTTCTGATATTCCCATCAAAGCCAATTCTTATTTCAGGTTTGTTAAAAAATTTTAAATTAATGGGTAGTTTGTTTTGGGGTGAGAAACTCATTAGTCACAAAGAATCAAATATTATTTTCTACAGATATTACGCGAGAAATCTTTACATAACCAAAAATGAAAAGTAAACATTGGAAAAATTTTAATTAATTGAAAAAAAATAGCAGTTCAAGTTTACTAGCATTACAATTTTGTGCAAATCTTAATGCGGATTTGTATCGGAAACCGAACATTTCTTAAAGACGCGCGGTCTTTCTCAATCCTCTGCCTTGTTTATCTATTTATTTACTTATTTATTTACGTATTTATATATATAGACTTATTTATTTATTGTTCTATTTTATTTATTCGTTTATTTTTCATTGCCTTTCCTTCTGGCAGCTTGTTCGCAATTGAGTAAACGGTCGCTTGTCAACGTAACGAATAAATTCATGACTTAGTTCTTCATCATTGGCAGAAAAGATGACACACTTAAAAGCATTATTATTGACCGTGGGCCGTGAAATGTTAAAAATATTAACAAGCGCAATTCAGGGTTGGGAATAATAAGTGTTGACATGGTCGCCTAGGGAATTTCAAGCGTCTCTTGCATTCAATTAGGAAGAAAAATGGGAACTTACTGACCAAAAGACACCGACATCTCCTCTCTTTGCGTTTCTGGTCCTCCTTTCTTTAATTCTTTGACAGCACGGGCAGCTGGCTCGGAGATGTAAAGTACAATCGAAATGAGTTTCTTCGCGGCATCCCGTGAAAACATCGAATTTCCTCAGTGAATAGTTTAATTTCAAAACATCCAGCCTCTTTTGTGAATCACCCACGATCGAATGACTTAGTTTGGGGCAAGATACCAGTGCAAATTTGGGACGAAAAATAGACTTCAGCTGCTCTTCAACGAATGGTAAGCGAACGCGAATTATTATAAACCGATGTTTGTCTTGTCCGTTGTCGCATTCGACGAGAAAAAAAAAAAAGCAATGTGTAAATCTGGTTATACGAAAATTTATCTAGAAACCGTTGTAAAAAATTGGTGGAAAAAAGTTCATTTCGTATATCTTTAATCAACTAACTTATCGCAAAACGAAGAGTAAAGTTAATGTAATTTGAAAAATTGAAATGTGTTGGTGTTTTGTTAGTCAAATTGCGCCGCATTAAAAAGAAAAAAGTTGGCAGTTCGGGTGACGAAAGGAGAGTAGACATTTTCTTTCAAAAAAAACAAACTAGCTAAGTTTGAAATGGAAGATATAAGATATGTGCACTTGTTTTCTCCCAGGCCCTGTTTTTGTATTAAGCTTCATCTAAGCTTTAATCTGTTGTTCCTTTGAGAATCCTTTCAGCAAATGCAAAGTTTAAACCGGAATACCCAAATAGCGCACGCAAACCTGTTTTGTTTGGATAAGATTATGAAACAAGTCTTCCTCAAACGTGCTTTCCACTTGATCCTCCGTGGGATATAAAACTAATGTCTCTTCTTAATATTTTTCGTGTAAGATTGCTCTGTTTTGTTAATTACGTCGATGCTGAGTCAATGTTTAACAAGGCGGCGAAGAAAAGCAAAATTGATTTCCTAAATTAACGGCTCAATATCAAGGTATAAAATTGTTAAGGGCAGAATATTTTTAGCCGAGAGGATAAAAAACAACTCTGTGGTGGTCCTCTCAACCAAATATGACTCAGTATCGAGCGCGTTTTGATAAATTACCCAGATCTGAAATTTAAAATAAAACGTTTCGTTGACCGTGATCAAGGCTTGCGGAATTGTTCAAGTTATTTTAGGGGACTGTTTTAAACCTAAGGCATGACAATTTTTTAATCCGTAATCGATGGATTTACTGATTAAAGTTGAAAAAAAAACAACAACAAAAACATTTAAGACGTGTGTGTATACAGTAGAGTACTGCGCATGCGTCAGTCTCCCGGTAAATCATGTCAGATATTCATGCTCAAATTGACGCTCGTTTTGTGACTGTAATTCCTCACTAGCAGTCTTCAGTTCTGAATATTTTATGGGGGTGATGTTAGTAACTATTCAAATTCCTGGATTTCCTCTGAAGCTATATGCTATATCAGTTAATTTTTTTTATTTCTGCTCATCTTGCTCAGGAAATGCCGACCCCAATTTACGTGCGAGGCTACATATACACATGTGATTTTATTGGCTCGGAATTCCAAACTTATAGTTTCGTAGCATAAATGGTAGACGCACTAATTTCACTCAAACGTGACAAAAACATAAGCAACTTTTTGGGTAGAAGTTCATTTCAAACCAGTGACCAACGTGGAACTTTCAAATGCGCTCGCTCACGATGCACAACTTGTCCTTTCATTCATAACGCAGAGAAAAATTACACGGCACCTGGGCGGTGCAGTTTCGAATACCATTGAATCATCAACAATTTCTTGCAATTTCTTCCACTAAAGTTCTTATTTTTTATGATTTTATTCTTTAATGTTATATGTGACCAAAAATGTTTATGCCACTCATCTCTGATTTAGTGCTCATCTTGCTTGGAAAATTTTGGCCCAAATTCCTATTCAGCGGACGTTCAAATAACAAACATTTTTAAGAATCGGGGTGTCCGTATTCAAATTTGACAACCTCATTCCCAGAATCTTTTCCTTTCCTTACGATGTCTCTTATCGTTCGGTAAATTCAGTTTAAATTCCATGAATACATAGAAGTCGTAAAGAATATATACTTCTGCGCAAGGCAATGACTGCAAACATAAATATTCGCCTTTACTTCTTTACAAATGATCTACAATCGCAGTTTATTATACACAGCCTAAACGTGGTAAAAAAATATGTATATTCATAATGGAATAAAAAAATTGATTTAATATGTACAAACTCACTATCGTAAAAGTTTAGAGGGAGATAAAAGAAGCAACCGTTAAAGACGTGAGGAAAAAACAGATTTAAAACCAGAAGTAATGGACATAATAAAGATGGAAAATGTGAGCCTCGGGCTCCCGCCTCGTGGCCGACACAGAACCAGTGCTTTTATATCCCACGGTGCGTAGCGGCCTAGTTTTCCGAGACCAAAGGTCAAGGCCAGACCTTGCATGTTATTATATTTCTGTAATCCTCACAACGCCTCATTTCTGAATCTAAACCGGTGTCAACTGTGACTTTCAAGGAACGAGCCCCTGGCATGGTAACTATGGTGTACTCCCGGGAAAGAAACTATGCTCTGTAAATACCTCGCTACAGCCAGGAGTAGAAATTAAGAACCGGCTAAATGTCAGGAAATTGTCGGAGGATAGAGAAAGTTTCACTTGATTGAAATGCTATCCGTAAGGTGGAGATAGATAGGGACAGAGCAATCCACTTAACTCGTGTTTAAACTTCATTTGACTTCACTAGTATTCAGCAAAAGGAAGGTTCGGGACCTGAGAGGATATTTCGTTTATAAAAACTGTACAATTTTTAATAATTTTTTAGTCTTCAAAATGTGTTCAGCTCTACCTACGACAATTTTTTGCCTCCGTGATGCATCAGCCACTTGTGTGCCAACAAATTGTCTTTTTATATTAAATTATAGCCGTTTATTTGCCTGTCCAGACCACCTGTCTTTCATCTTCCATGGCTGTGGGGTTGTTTTCCGTTTAAGCGGACTCAGTGATTTGAATGTTTCAACACAAAGATGTAATTTGGCTCGTTAATAGATCATTCTGTTTCGCCTTTTAAGACGCTTTCGATAATTCTCTATGCAGCACTGTAGCTTGCTGTCTCACATGATATGGTGTTATATAATTTTTGGGTTGGTAAATCATCAACACAGATAACGAGGTTAATGGAGGTGTTTACTTTCTTCTGATTGGTTCCTAACTACCAGGTTCTTTTCTCGACAGTTTTAGTGATTATACAATGTTTTCCTTAAAATGGCGAGCTGGTAAAAAAGAGCTGCTAGGTTTAATTTTGGAATGATGATACATTCGATCAAGATTTTGCTTGGTCCACTTTGTGAAGGATGGAATCCGCAAAAAGACCCAGTATGAGAAGATTCTTTTTTTATGGGTAAGCTGATTTTAGGAACGGAAATGCTGCACGGTAGACTAGCTGTCAGGGTGTTGTTTGCTTTATTTTTTTCCTTTTTTGAAAGATGTAAGGCGCTAAAATGCCCTATGTTCTATTCATCCTGTGTTCAACTTAGAAAAGAAAAATACCTTCATCGAGTGGGCTCCGTTACAAAGAGTAATTTTTCTTTCTACTCGGCAGGCTATCTATTGTTGAAGTAAGAAAATATGGCATACGTCTATTTCCTGTAAACAAAGAGAAGATGAAGTGTTCTGCTTTTCTAGTCGTAACATACGGTGACGAAAAAATTTAAATACTGTCGAAGCAACACAATGTAATAAATGCTGCGAGAATGAAAAAGTGCGACGTCGTAAAACGTACCAGCCGGATTAGATTTTGCTGATAATATTGCTTTGTTTTTCTCAATCAAAGGGAGCACTTACTGGGGCTTGAAGATCTTTTAGTTGGAGGAAATGCAAATCTGGATTTACTCGGTAAGCGGAGAAACTATCGGCCATGTTTTCAATATTACCAATCGATGTTCCACCTGTGTATGTGAATAGCAGAATTTTTTTTGTCAAGAGCAGCAATTTGAATTGCCGTAAACCACAGCCGAATTGTAGTCGGGGAAAATTGTTCCGTTGAAAAGTAACGACGATTTTCCAAGCGATAATGAAAACAAAAGTTTGAATGGCTTTAAAAGAGCACTTTCCTGTTCGATGAAATTAAGAATACACATAAAAATTTAAGGCGCTTCCTCCTTAACCAGCAATTTCAATTTCACACCACTCTTATCTTCCCTCTACGATCATTTCATTACAACCTTGAGATTCACAATCTTTGTGGGATGTATCTTTTATCAAACAATTTCAGTTCAGATCTGAATGGAGAACTTCGCCTACAGCATATACCATCTCTTTCAACACTGCTCTTTTTCCCTGAAATTGCACTTTTAATTATTCAAAACGTTCCACAGACTGCTAATTGCGGGATCGCTGTCCATATCGCTGCAGATGTCGAGAATTTTTTGTAACAAAATAATAACAAAATGATGTCTTCGGAATAATATCCGCGAAATCTAATTTATTAAACACCTACAAGTCTTAAACCCAATTCGCATTTTACTTTTTTAAAATAGTCTTGAAAAAAAAACCACATTTATTAAAATGCAGTTCTGTCACACTAAATTGCGAATTGCGTGGTCTAATATTTTTATTCTCGTAGGTTTTTATAACCGTATGGTATGGATGTTTGAATGTTGTGTACTGCCTAGCAATACAGCTGCCCTCTTCTTCCGGGACAACGGCGTTCACGCAGAGGACGGTCGTATCAGTTACACCAACAATATCAGGTAAAATGTCATTAAAATTTACAGTTACAGAAAATATTATTCTCTCCGCAACGATGAAAAGTTGAGACGGTTGCATCTTCATGCATTATTTATCACTTGCTTTTACATGGTTTTTGTTAAAGTAGTTAATCTTGAGACATCACTTTGACACCAAGAGTCAAGTATATCGATTTACATACTGTTTTTCGTCGGTGGCTCTCATCTGTTTGACCTGGGGGGAGTAAATATGTTTTAATGCCTTTCGATGTTAATAAGCGGCCAAAACAGGGAGCTTGTCCGATTTAATTGAAATGGTGATCGTAAAAACTTACCGGCTTATTCTTTAGATGTTTTTCTTATTTGGATACATAACGTGTAGCAGTATATAAATAGTTCTTCTGAGTTCGCCGATTGGCTGGCTCGGAGATTATTAGCAAAGTACCACTCAGCTCGGAGAACAGACAGAAGTATAAAATGGCTCTTGTATTTCATAGGGTATTAGACGGAAAATGTGTTCGTTAACAGAGCTCACAAAAGATAAAAAAATGACAACAAATTTTGGTTTGATTGCGTAGCATAGAAATTTTGATGTAAAAAAAAAAAACAAAGATCGTTAAAGAGCAGATGGAGAGCGCTATCGAAGTGGGAGACGTAACTTAAAATGTGTTAAATTAGTTGCGCTAATTGATGAAGCAACAGAAACCTTCAAAAGTCTTACCTTTCAGCAGCGAAGAGAAACGAGAGCTTTTCAAACAATGAGACTCTATAGAGCACAAATAAGTATTGCTCGAGGAAAAATTCATCAGTCTAATTTCCGACCATCTATCAGTAAAATGACAGAAATTAAGAATTCGTTTGGTGCGCTAGCTATTGAAATTATCTGATGTATACCAAAACAATATTTACCTCAGTGTCTATTAAAATATCACCTTCTCGCCGGTAAATAATGTTATATTTAAATATGAATATGGTAGAGAGACATAAAATGTTTTCAAGAAACGAATGTTTGATATGAACTACATTAGGGTTATTATCATAAGTAACTTTAATGGGCCCCTATCAAATTTTTCGAAAAATACGGATTTAGATGGTGACATTTAAAAAGCCACGCAATCAGTTTTGGCTGTTCCTACTTTCGTTATGTGGCCTTATTTCCAGAAAATTATTAACCTTGGTGCACCTGCAGAATGTATTTTCAAAACCATTGTAAACTACTAAATTCAGTTTGGCTAAAGTCCCTCGCAAGGTGTTGTTAGGCGCATTGGAGAATATTTATGTGGAGATTGTGCTAGATAAATGCTTCATCATGGATCGTTATGATCACTATCCTAGTGGATTCGAAAAGCTCCGTTTTTGATGAAGGTGGTGTTCAGGTGGTGTGGACAGTACGGTTGAAACTTAGCCCGAATCAAGGAGATAACTACAATGTATTAGTATTGGTGTAGAGGGTAGCTCTCAAGATCTAACTGTTAATTCTTCCCTTTAGCTGCTATGCATTTCCCAGCAAACTGTCACCTTTTTTAATGTTGTCCTCCGATTTAAATGGTATTTTGTTTCAAATTTCAGTGGACACTTCGATAGTTACCGCAAGGGCAGCGCCAACTCCTGTGAGATCGAGTGTTTCAGCCTCAGCTTCACTTCAAACAGAAGTAACTACCAACAAGGCATACACCCTTTCCGCTACCGAACCTCGTCCTGAAACAGAGATTACGCAGGCCGAGCCTCATACTGAAGGAGAGGCGCGGGCAGAAGGCGAGTCAACTGCAATAAGTGAACAAGCAGGAGAATCTGAGCCATATGTAGAACCAGAGACGTGGCCGGAGCCAGGGCCAAGATGGAGTGAGGCCTTTGAAAAATGGAGGGCAGCTTGGTACATTCATGTCTATTTCTTCGCCATCGCTTTCCTCGCCATTGGATCTTATGCTGGTTATTACGTCATCTTGAACATTTACGACGGCTTAAGAGGAAAATACCTCAGTGTTTGTTTAAACGGTATGGTTCTGCTGTTTGGTACAACCAGGGCCTTTGTGCTGTTTTTGGATCCGTATCATCAAGGGAGCTTAATAAAGGCTCTTTTCACAATGCGCCTGTTATGGTCCATCGGCGGCCCTTGTCTCACCGCCTCTGACTCCCTCATAATTTTGGCCCTGGTAGAGACCGCTCGTGTGTCCATTGCGCCTCCAAGATTTCAGAGGCTCGAAACAATTTCGATCGTGATTGCATTCCATTTTGTTCTCGTTATCGTTTCAGACACAATCGTTTCTATTTACATGGAAGCAAAAATCATGATTTTACTCTGTCAGTTATTCTTCTCCGTTTGGGGAATTACGTTAGGTGCCGGATACGCAAACCTCGCGTACAAACTCGACAAGCAACTCTTCAGTCATAAACAGATCAAGGAAAAGGGAGATAAAGTATATATATTTCTCATTTACGCCTCTGCCGCGGCAAATTTTTTCATTTGCGGCGTTATGATCTACACCGCAGTGGGTGTTTTTGGTGTGTATACAGACATTGAATTCGTGGACGCCTGGCACTGGTGGACGTTGCAAACGTTATTTCGCACTGGGGAAGTTATAACCTGCGTCTTGATTTTCACGGTTAGCGCCAAGAGATCACGAGTAAAGCAAGCTGCAGATGAAGTTTCTGACTTTGATTCTCGGTCACAAACGTTTGATTCGATAGACGGATGTTCCGCGTTTCGAAAAGTTCGATCGTTTTTTGACAGATGTAGAAAACGGGCAACGATCTCTGATATCGCAGATGCCTTTAAGGATGATTCAGAGACAATTGTGGTGGTCAGTAGAAGTAGTTTTAAAAAGAGAACTGCTGGTAAAGGCAACGATGAAGATGATGTCCTTCCCCCTGTTTTTGAAGCATTTCAAGAGAGGGACAGGGGGAGAAGGCAAGATTTGTTTTCTCATATGCGTGAGGTGACTGTCGAAAATCAAATTGCGCAGCTCGACGCGATGGCTCCAGCGGTTGCTCCTAGACCAAGGAGGGGTCGAAGACAGAGTTTATTTTCTGCCATGCATGAAGCTAGCATAAACAGCGCTATTTCCTCGTTTGCTCAGCAAATAACTGAAGCCAGCGAAGAACCCATGAAATGTGAGTCTTTCGAAACAGATGGGGAGCTTAACGAGGAGCCAAAACCTCTCCCTCGAAGAGGCCGGCGGACTAACGTTTTCTCGAATCTTCCGGAAACAAAACCGGAGAGGAAAAATCCTCGTCAAGGCATGATGGAAGATATTGTTGAGGAATCAACTGTTTACGAAGGGGAGGGTGACTCGATTAGGAGACGCCCACCACTATTGAAAATGCGGAGTTCAGACAGAATGCGTCAGTTAATTAATACTTGGCTCTCGCGAACTAAAGGTTCTCCCGATGAACCGAAAGACATTGCCGAGGAAGAGGAACCAAAAATTGAAAGAGATGAGAATTCTGCGACAGATTCCCTTCCTACAGAAAACTGTTGATGACCTTGTAACTAACTTGCTTGTAAAAAGCCATCTTTTTGGGTTCCTTGTGAATAATGCACAAGCCTTCAAAGCATTTGAAACATCCCTGTACCTCTTTTAAAGAGCAGTTTTCGACGTAGATCGTCTTTAGTACCACTGAATACATCTCTTCCTGTTCCTGTTTGATTCACATAATATCTCTTCACAATAAAATTGTGGAAATCTTGTGTTTCGTATCTTGCAGCATTAAGACCGAAATATTTAACTCATGCTTTTGTTTACTGAATTATTAGAGTCTGTTTGTTTGTTTGGTTGGTTTGCTTTGCTGCAGCAGTTTTTCTTTCAAAGAGTTGGAGGGTGGAGGGGTGCTTAAGGTGATTCTTTAGTAGAGTCAAAGCAGCCCAAAACACAGCCAGGTTGGGTAAAAGAAAAGCGCACATTTTGTGACATTATAAGAAAACAGAGGGAGGGGGAATGATAAATTTTTAAGGAAGCAAGAATTCCCATTGCAGCATATAACTGCGCAACAAGGAGCCAGTATAGATAATAAAATATAATATAAAATAAAAAAATAGAAAACCAGAAAATTTCTCCTGCATGGCTCTTTGATAAAAAGCCGTAAGGCCCTGTCGAGCCAATCAAATAGACCTTATGAAAAAGATTTTTATCCTACTGAAGCCAATCTCGTCAACGTTAAAAAGACTCAAATCATATCAGTCCACACTCAATCACAAAGAATTATAGCCCCTTCATTGATTCTAAGTGATAAACATTCCTAAATGAAGTGTTTCAACTACGCCATGTTCTATGTTGTTCCTGTTTTAGAACCATAATCTCAGCAATGATTAATTCAAAGTTAGTAATAATAGTTTTTCTATTAATCAAAATATACAGAGAAAAATAACCGGCTGGTCTCTACTTTGCCTTTGATAGATCCAGTAGTTATTCAAGAATATTTTTAGCAATATTCATTGATTAAGATTTTCTCTATAAAGCTCGTTGTAACACTGTGCGATTTTTGGCTATTGTACCGTGAGTAAGCTTTAATACGTAAGAGAAACTGAAACATGAATTGCGCAAGTAGAGACAAAATACTTTAGGTGAATAAAACATCAAATGTGTTGCTTGATTAGAATTTTTGGGTTGGGATAAGAGATATTAATATACTTTGAAAGAGACCCAGCTGTGGACGTCATAAAGTTCTTTACACGACCGTTACGGCGTACAGAAAAAGGAAAAAAGTCGTAATTGATTATTAATTTATGTACGTACAAAGTTCACATTTAGAGTTTAAGTGAAACATTATTAACCGAGTCTCTGTGTCTCATTCAGTCCTATTTACATGCTCTTAAAAATCCAATCGGTAGGCATGTTTGGGTTTACAGGACAACTGACCTTAACAGAGCTCACATATTTTTAGAGCCCTAACCCAAACAATTTCACTGGACATTCGAAATGAACAACAAAGTACTTGAAGAACAACCAACCGTCGTGAATTAAAACCTAAACAAAACTTGTCGTTGAGGATTCTAAGCAAGGTCAAAGACAAGCCCAAACAATACCAACGATGACGATTTTTCAGGAGAATTAAGCCCTATTACAACGGTCAAGGACACATAACTCAAAGGTAAAAATAAATGTGAGGTCTTGCAGCGCTTGATAAAGCAAGGCTCACAAGACTCGCACTAGGATTCCAGCATAATCTAATAGGCCTAAACAATTCCCAAACACTTAGTCAGAACATAGTTCCTAATTTTAGTAGTTCCCAAACACTTTTAATTTTAGCAATTCATAATACATACTATAATATCCATAACCAGTTAATCACTGAATTCTTCGATCATTTTTGTGTATTTTTGTGCACCTGATGACTGAGATTGAGTGGCCTGAAAAAAACTTAACAATATCTAGATGGCTCGCCTCACTGTGGAAACGTGTAGGGGAACTGTTTTTTCGTTAAACGAGAAAGTTCGAGAAGTCACGTCGAGGTTACAATTTACTTATTTTTGTGCATATTTTTATGTAAGGAATTTGTACCCATCTTTTTTAAAACAAGATAAACAAAACAAAAATACGAAAAGTAGAAAACCACCTCAAGTCATAAATATTCTCGCGGGTCATAGCATATTCTTCGAACGGAACAGTTCAAAACAGTGAAAATCAAACCTTGTAGATCCTAATACAAGAGCTCTTGCTAGTGGTGCAGTCACAGATAGACAAAATATTTCATAAAAAGTGCGACAGTTGCTTTTATTACCAAGGGTGCTAATTGTCATTATGAAATGCGCATCTTCCGTTACTTAATTGCAGAAGGTCATATGGAGTTCGACGATTTACCGTATTGAAAGATTAAATATACGTATGCTAGGAAATGTTTTTCACCTTAGTGTCTGTAACTCTCACCCTCTATTCACCTCCACTTCGGGGAATAGTTCGGTCTTAATAATAATTCATTTTTGACGGGTAGCAGTAGGAGGTAAACATTTTTGACAACATAGCGGTGGGAGGTAAATAAAAAGCACACAGGGTACAAAATAAGGAAAAGTGGGAGATAAAAACAGGAAAATAAAAAAATCCTCTAAAAAGCAGAAAAACGTTTTCAATTGTGACAATTTACATTTTTAAAAGCCAGAGGAATAAGGACATATCAATACCTTTCTCAAATCTTAAAGTGAGTGTAGTTGCTGCCCATCTGTCCAAGGCTTTCATCTTTTCGAAGACATTTGGATAATTTGAATTTTATCAACTGCTAATGTAATAACTGCCTGCCGAATGCCATCTTATTCATATTCATGGACTTAATGAGAAGACTTTTTCATATAAACCACACTCTTGCTTATTATATCACAACTGACTTCAGACTTTACCAATTATTTATACAAATGTATGTAATCTCTATACGTTATTTCTACTCCATTTTGAGGTTTATTCGCTTTTATCACTTATAGTCCTAATTTTCTTAGCTTGTGAAACATTTATATCATGAGCCTCGGGCTTGGGAGAGTGGGAGACCACCTTCTATGTATTTGACGTTAAATAAATGGTTTTATCTCATACTACGAAGCCTTGTTCAGTGAGACAGTCGAAAGAGTTGTACTCGTATTTCGGAAGGGAGGTTCTTCCGTTTTGACAAGGTGAAGAAGAACAAGGAGACTGCAATAAAGGAATAAAGAAAAATTATTTATCGTCAAGACCAGTGAATGCTTAAACAGTACGTCGGGGATGAATGACGCTCTTCTCTTCTTAAAGTTATCAACAACACCTGCGTCGGAAAAAGTGCCTACCTGAAAAGAAAAATGATAAAAACCCATGTTTTCGTTGTAATTCTCGCCGTCTTCGTGCTTATCAAAAGACAAGAATTCGCTCCAAGGCCAAACTGCAAAAAAATAACGTTTCTTTTCTTTTTTTCTTTTTTGAATATATAAGACTTATTGAATAACAAAAACCAATTATTATTATGAAATTAGAAGATCCTCGCAGCTAAGAACACTACTGAAACTAGTAGTTG